CGTAGTACTGCGTTTTCTTGAAGAGATCCACTGCGCTCCAACAGTTGCAACTCGACGTGGATCTCCGTCAATTGTAGGTACGTTTGCCGATTGACTCGACGTTGGTGTCGAATGGCTTCTCGCAATTCGAAGATCTTGGCAAGGCCTTGGACCACATTGATGGCGGTGCTCATGGCAAATTGTGTTGTGGGTGGGTGCTCGGTGGCAATTTCAAGAATGCTAGCGTTGGGACGTCTGGAGAGTGTTTGGTCGCCAAATGACTTGGATCTTGGTGCGACTTGACCTGGTTTGTGTTGCGTTGCTCGCACCCCTTCGTGGGCAGTTGAGTTGCAGCGTGGCTGTCCGTCTCGTCCGACAGGAATAGTCGATGCGCTTTGCCTGGCAAAACAAAATCCGTTGAGATGCCTTATCGTCTATTCTAGCAGCGAAACTTTTGCCTTTTTAAGTGGCTACACAGTCACAAAGGCTTGTTTTGTATAGTCAACTTTTAAACTAAACGTTGGTATCAAAACATCATGCTTCTCGAGAAAAAAAAACTACTTGAAATGTGGTATTTCGTGTCTTTTTTTTTACAACCGGACTGATCCTTGGTGCCCAAGTTTTCGAGGAACTTTTCTGCAGCGATGGGATTTGCTGTGCGCGAACGCTGCAGACTTCATGTGCTACCCCAGTCAGATTACCGACGATAAAGACCACGACCAAACGTGCATTTCGCATATCCGACCGTCGTTAAGCGTCCGCTTTGTGTCGTTTCGATATATCGGCATGTCGGACCAAGAAGAACTTAGGCGTTAGAGTCGTGTCGAGACGCGCCTCATGCTGCCACTTGTTCATTGTGTACACATGTCATTGTAAACCAGGCACCTCACTTCATTATAAGCCAGGGTAAATCCACTTTACGCAGGTGCAGGCGTAACCGCCATAAGCAATAAAAAAAATCGCGGGTGTGGTGGAGTACGCGTATACGAGCTGCAACGTGCCACAGGATCCCGCTATCTATCTCATGCACTCAGCCCGTCTGAAGTGAGCTGAGCGATCCCATTCCGACCATGGAGGAGAGCGGATCAGCAGCTGCAAGAAAGTTCTTGTGTGAATTTCGGTGAGCAGGGGGATTGTGAGAGGGGATACATGAGTTTTGCGCCATTCAGCGCGGCGATTCCTGCTCAGTCTCCAAAGTTCTCATGCGTCTGTTGTTCGAGAAGAAATGAGTGTCAGCTGCAAGCGTGTGCTTTGCTCTGGAGTAGCCGTTAGCTCACATCGACCAGAAAATGCTCCTATAGCCCTTACTTCCGCAAGGTAAGTCGACGATATTGAAATATTCGGGTGGCAGTGGCAAACACCTACATGCGACTCCGCTCGAACTAAATGGCTGCCAACGGACTTCTACCAAACCAAAAGGTTTGTGTCAAGCAAGAGAATAGAACTCGCTAGTCGGTCGTCATGGATACCATACGACTTTATCAGTTGGAAAGCCTCGTCGGGCATGGTAGACGTGAACATGTCACGTACTGAGCTCCAACCATGTAGACGAATTTCCATTTCAACTTGACTACGACTCAATTCACAAATGTTGCAATAGAAACCACCAATCCAATCACTTACAATATTTCCTGAACGATTTTCGTGTAAATTGTAAAATTGTTCCGAGAACAATTCGCGGAAAGCACACTTCGATTTGCGCACACCCGGTGCTCGTGAAGGTGGCTACATGGCGAAAAATGGCAACTGCGAAGGCAATTGGTCAAATGTTTGATTCCACGACTCAAAGATTTCGATGAGGTTGCGTATCCAAAAAACAGCGGGTCAACATCAACGCGGCATCCATTTACTCGTCCAGCAGTGTTTACGAAGTGCCTGTGGGGTTTTCTGAGGGTGACGAC